TTGGGGAACTCTGCTTTCCCTCAACAGGCGTATTTGGAGATCACAATTTTGTTCTGTCGAGGCCGCAATGACGACCAGAAAGGCGAGAAGGTCAAACTCATACAAGAAAATTCTAATGCAAAGGCGAATTCAGAATCAGAGGAAATGAAGCTTGAAGGCGATGCAGTGATGATCTTAGTAGGACTAACCGTAGGCGCTCCTCTTCCTTTGAAGCTCCCCGGCAGCTATCCGAGGTCTATCGGATTCAATTTCGACGGTTCTGTCTATCTTGATGGTAATAAATTCTCTTCATTTTCACCATTTTAAAGAAAAATAAAGTTTTTAAAAAAAACTACAAAATTCATTTTTTTTCTGATGCCAACGTTATCGGCAGGATTGAAAAAAAACAACAAAATTTTTTTAATAATTATATTATTTTAATAAAATATTAGGTAAAAAAATTTAAAATAAAATTTAAAAATTTTTAAAAACTAAGTTTGAGGTGTTTTTCGTGCAGTGTAAACATTTTTTTTCCATTTTTATTTCTTTTTTCAGGGATTAAACTTGTGTTTGGATCGGAAAAAGAAGACTGGGGAAAATCAGAGAAAGTGATAGGTTGTGGGTCCAATCCACGGCAAAAGAAAGTGTTTTTTCCAGTAGATTCGCAGCTGGGGCATGTGATAAATTATAAAACAGAGGAATTTGGAACTGCCCTGAATTTTACAGTAATCTTTCAAAGAATACTTCAAAAGCGTGAGTTTTGTGTACTTTCTCCGTGTCTTTACAGTTTGGCTTTGTAAATCAAACTTGTAATCTTTTTGTTAACCTCAGAAAAATTCTCAATTTCTCGTGCCTTAGGGATTTTGCAAATCATTTGCCATCCCACCAAGAAATTTGCTTGATTTGATGATTTTGGGATGATTTGTCCAGGTGGCTTGTCCATCTCAACATAAAAATGCCACATCAGACGCAAAAAACGGTGGGTTAATGGACTATTAAAAGCTAACGGAAGAATGGTGCCAACGTTAATAAAGGGGGTGATTTGCCACTGAAAGTGAGTTGAGGGGGTAGTATGCGCGTGAAATGGGTTGAGGGGGTGATTTGCCACCAGGTGAGTTAAGGGGGTGATTTGCCACCAGGTGAGTTAAGGGGGTGATATGCACTTTTTGCCATTTTCAACTGCATGCGCTTGTCATTAGCTGTCAATCCCTTTCCCATCAAATAATGATATTTCAAAGTCTGACATAATTTATGAAATTAAACAAG